GCGGTTCATGATAAAAAGGCAATTGGCCATTGCAGTTTAATAACACTAATTTTAACTAAACGAAATTTCAATATCTCAACAAAGGAAAATTCTTTTAAAAGTATACGTAAGAGTTAATTACATTCTTATGCTTCTAGTTTTATACAATGAGTTTTAATTGATATAACAAATGTTACACAATCATCTATCTGAATTACTAAAATATCTCTAGTACATTGATTAAAATTTCTACTCACCAAACACCTTCCAAAAATAATTCCAAAATCAAAATACAAAATGTAGCTCCAAAATAGAGCATACGAGAGCAATCAGCTCAAATATGTAAAAAATAATTCGTTACAACTGTCTTCTTATGCATAATTGTTCTTCCGTGCATCATCTTCTCACACCCTTGAGCCACTTTAATGTAAAACAGTAAAAAAAAAAATTTTAAAAAAATACTAACCTGTAACTTTAGCTTGCAAGAAATATTAGAACATATTTGGATACAAATTAGAAGAGTTTTTGAGAACTTCTCTACTGAAAATATTTTTTTACTTTCAATAGAGAAACCCTTAAAAGCATTTTTAACTAGTATCCTATTTGAATGCGAGTTTAAAAAAGCTTCTGAGAATTCCTCTATTAAAAAAAACTCTTTATTTTTTAGTATAAAGACTCTGAAAAACTCATCAAAACTTATATCCAAACAAGTGCTATATATGTTACGAGCTTCTGCGTTCCAACAAATACACACCTATGAGCAGCATGAAGTGAAGAGTACTATCTGCTAGTGAGAACATTAACCAGTAAAATCCAGTAATCATTTTCACCAACCATGAGGTCCATGACCAAGCCCATATGCGTCCATATAATTAGCTCCATGGATGTGGGCATCACCATATTCATCGTGTCCATGACCATGATCATGACTATGATGGTGATGATGATCATGACCATTACTTTTTGCGTCATCTAACATCTTTTGTATGTGATCAGGGATGGACTCTTGTTCAACTTTCCTAGCAGACTTCGGTAATGACAAGACAAACTGAGAAATTTTTTCACCTATCTCATCTGCTACGTCCTCCTGAGATCACGACAATTGAATTAATTTCATCAACAAAAGGAAAGGACATTGACATCACATGGTAAAATGGTAAATTACGTGATATAGAAACAAATAAATAGTATGAGCGGATAGAATGGTTGTATTTTTTATATAGAAAACCTACACGAGAAAAGGAATGGGTATGTCCAATTCCACTGGATGAGAAACAGTTATATTCAAGATAAAAGTTGTAGTGAGAGAGAGTTATGTTCTTGTTCTAAATTTGGATCTGCTTTACTCCCTCTATTATCTATTATAAGCAAGAAAACACATTTTTTGTTCTTAAATATAAGCAAATTTTAAATTCTTTTGCCTCATTTAATAATACTTTCCCAAAAAATCTCTTCTTTAATGCATGACCTTTCAGTTACACTACTTCTTTTAATATTTATAGTAAGGATAATTTACGAAAAATATCATGGGATTATTAAAACTTAATGCAGATAGCTGATTTTCTAAATAAGTGTAAAATCAATTTCTTTTGCTTATAATAGAGATCTGAAGGAGTAACTATTTACTACAGGAAAGGAACATGATCAATGAGGTTCTTACAAGTAATGACCTAGCTACTCTAAGAAAGCAACTAATGCTGGATTTGTTCCACACCAGGTCCTAACATCCTATCAAAAACCATAGTATATACATACAGTAATGAAAGAAAATATTTACATCGTGAAGTTCATTAACCAATTCTATTGGCAAATGAAAAGAAGAATAATACTTTGTTCATGAATTCCCATATTATATTTTAATTATTAATTATTATACCACTTAGAAGCACCAAAGTCAACAACAGTACATCCTTCCGTTTTTAATTCATTATTTCACTTGTCTAAGGGGATAAAAACACATGAGGGGAGGGGGGAACAACTTGTTGCTGGAAAACTTCTCGTATTGTAACATTCATCAAGCAAACTTATTATCCAGATTAGACTAATAATGATAGGTAGATATCTGAAAAAAACTAGAGCTTTTCCAGAACACAAAAAATCAGCAAGCACTGCAGATATGCATAAGAGGTTTGCATGGCCAGACCAGTTAAATTGGAGCATCCAGTTCAAACTTTGCACCAGATTAGGAAAAAGAAAACCCACATAAACTAACAATTTATGCATAGGGTGACACAAAATGCACTAAATTGTTTATTATCTAGTCATTATAGTTGGCTCTTAGTTCATCAATTCTTCCTTTTCCTTCACTGATAAACCTTATCAGAAGGCTCTACTTTAGCAACTGATTTTGATTGATTAGAGACCATAAAGTCATGCTTTTCACCAGATCAGGAAAAAAAAGTACAAACCAGCTCAAGTGTATGCATTGCTGACAACTTCTTTACTAGGCGTATAGGGAAATTGAAAAGTTAACACCAAAATCTGGTGGAAGCTTGAATAATTAAAAAAGTTCAATCAACATATAGCAATCAATAGTTTTGCAGAAAGTTTAGATCAACATAACACAGCATAGTCACAACATCACACAATCTGATGTTGAAACTACTGTGCAATGCATCTGATCATGGTTTAAGAACAATTGAACAATGATAGTAACTAGCCTATTAAGTAGGAGAAACAAAACAGCTTCAGAATTCCAAAATCTTTAGGAGATGTTTGGTATATGGTAAGTGTTTTTATGCCTAGAGGAAACCATGAATCCCAGGAACCATGATTCTTAAAATGTGTTTAGTTGGTTATAAATGTTCTTGGAAATATTAATATATGTTACTTGAGAATCAATTTTTTTCATCACATTACTATTGGATCACTTTTTTTAACACTGGAAAAGTTTGATTCCTAACTCTTCATGGGAACAAATTGGTGGAAAACCTATGTAAAAACACATTCTCGGAAAACTAACATTGTCAACTTCAAATTCCTGAGAAACTAAAAACTCTTTGTGTACCAAACGCCTCCTTAGTGTAACAGTAACATTACTAACATAAACTAACACAGTTTGAATTCCATCCCATTTATCCATTTCAATCCAATCAAACAATCGCTTCATGACAGCAACAAAACAAATGAACAAAAGAATAACAAATCTTGATCTCACCTGAGCCCACCGGCAGCCAGAATGTGTAACAAAAGTGGCCCGTGGAAGCGCCTTGGCGACACGGTCACCCTCCCGGCTCCATTCCGGAGACCAGCCAGCAGACCACAGCACCTGCATTGGCACACCACTCAACCCCTCACCCCACTCCGCCAAGTCAAAGCTGGAATTCACCCTCTTGGCAGCATTCACAACCGCCCTCCCCCCATCCCTGCCCTTCAACAACACCCTCAACGCATCCAAATCCTCACCACCAACCCTCCCGGAACAGCACAAACCCACAACCTTAGCATAAACAAACGAGACCCCCAACACCACCTCCCTCACCACCGGCACCTCCACCACCCAAACGGGAAAAGCACCCTCCGCCGCCGCGTCGATAAGCGTCACACTCCTCACCAATTCAGCCCTCTCGGAGACCCAATTGGCACAAAACCCTAACGCGGAATCGTGAAGAACCAAGTGAACAGGTGCGAGACCCATTGAGTCAATAACCTCCCCCAACACTTTTCCCATCTCTTGGGGACCCAAATCAAGTGGCTTTCTTACTTTTCTCTTGGACATGCGAGCTTGAATCTCCTCGTACGGAATCTCCCCCGTTTCCACTATCTGATCGAACGCCCAGAAGATACCCTTCTCTTGAATCTCGCTGTAGACGTACCAGAACCTCCCCAGAACCCCGTTCACGCCCTCCACGGAAGCTTCAACGGACTTGTCGGAAAAGCCGTTTCCGGGGAGGTCGACGGAGAGCACGTGCAATCCCTTGGAGGCGATGGATTTGGCGAGGTGGCGGTAGGAGAATGAGCTGAGACCTTGGCCGTGCACAATGAGAATGGTTTCCGACGATGTGGGGCCGTCTTCGACGGTGAAGACTTCGAGGGGGGTTTCGTTGGGGTGAGTTTGGACCTTGATGGTGCGGCCCTTGGAGTGGTGGTGGCGGAGGGGGGTGGGGAGGGTGAGGAACCAGGTTTTGGGGTCGTGGGGAGAGGGGGAGGAGGTGAAGACGAAGAAGAGGGTGATGAGGGAAACGGCGAGAGTGAAGTAGAACCAGAAAGAGAAGCCGTTGTTGTTGTTGTTGGGTGGTGAAGGTTTGGGTTTGGTGGGTGGGATCTGTGAGTTAGTGGTGAGTTCTGGTTCTTCTGTGATGATAGCCATGATGGGTGCTTCGAGCTTGGGTGTGGCTGAACTGAATGACTAAAGCCACCACCTTTCGGGGTTTCAGAGCTGGTTACAGGGACAGCATCATTGCGTGGGTAGTGGGGCGGTAGTGCGAGTTTCGGACTCCGAGTTTTAACGTAATAGCAGTAATAGTAGTAGTAAAATCAACCAGGTTAATTTAAAATTATTGATTACAACAGCACTATGGAAAATCTCTATTACTCTATCTTCCTCTTTCTTAACTGAATACATTCATGTTAATATTTACTATATTAACATTTCATTTGTTGCTTATATTTAAGTTTGATTACAATGAAATTTTACTTGAGAATGATGCTAACATGTATTTCATGCATGAATCAGCAATAACCAAAATGCTGTTGAATAGTTATTTTGAAAGCTACATAAAGTGGTTACTATTTTGCTGCATTACGAAACATAGGAAAGTGAAAAACAGTTTTATTTATTTATTTATTTATTATTATTATTATTTAATTTTATTAGATCTTGAAAATAGTATAGATAAATGTTTTTTTAAGTAAAAATAATGTTGGTAATGGCAATAAACTTTCTAAGGCACTTTTTATTATTATTATTATTGCTCGGTTATTAAAACTATGAGCCTTTTTATTTTATTTAATGCGTTTTATTTAATTTTGTATAAATAGTGTATTAAAAAGAGGATATTGAATAATGTATTGTTGTTTGCTAATGCTCTTAAGATAATATTACAGTTGAATTTTAAAGGAAAATATTAAACATTTTTCAAAATTAAAATGCATAATACTTGAGTTTTATAGTCATTTCTTTTACTTTTTAAGTTTGCAATAACATCGAAAAGTTTAATTTTTATGCCTTATTCAACATTATTAATCAATTAAAAATATTGTTGTTATGTTTTCTTTTCTTCTTTTTTTTAATTGTCATTTTTTTATAATTTCTTTTATTTATCTGTCGTTTTTAAAGTTTATGACAAAAGTTATCATAATTAATTATTGAATATTTATTTTTAAATTATTTAAATTTAATTTATAGATAATAATGATAAATAAAACTTAAATTAAATAATAAATTATTTTTTTAAAAAAGGGTTTTTGTTAAAGAGAAGTTTTTAAAAATATTCTGTAAAATAGAAGTGTGTTTAATATAAAGGACAAAATTGATGTCATAGGAAAAGAGAAACAAAAATAAAATGTATTAATAATCCGTTTACAAATGAGATTTCTAAAACTTATTACTTTATCATAAAATTAAACAAACTTTATTATATATGAATTATAATAATATCGATGTAATTTTTACTAAGTATTATATTTCTTAATAACTTTATATTAGATGTAAATTTTGTAAATCCAATCATTAGATTGAAAGTTCACGTTAGTTTATATGGATGTTTATATTTTAGTATATTTTGAGTGAATATATTATATCAATTTTATTTTATAAAAATGAAGTATCAAATTATATTGAATTAATATAAAATTTTGTATATATAAGAGTAAAAGACTTTCGATATAACAATTAGATTTACAAAATTCATATTTAATATAAAATTATTAAGCAGTGTAATACTTAGTATAAATTATACCAATATTATTATAACTTATATATATATATATATATATATTAGTTTGTGACAAATTAATGGTGTAAAGTTTAATTATACAATCAATACATTGATTATTTACTTTAATATAAAAGTTAAACTTATATGCATTGTATGAGCTTTTATGAATAATTTTTAAATTTTATAAAAATTTATAGATAATTTATTCAATAATTTTTTTAATTTTATAATTAAATTATTGAAATTTAATATACATATATATAATTATTAAATAGTATAACTATATCATTTATTATTATTATTATTATTATTATTATTATTTTGATCTCATCCTGTAATTATATTTTCTAACAAAACTAGTCTATTAAAGTTCAAGTTGTTATCATATTATTTTTTGAAAAACTTATACTAAACTTCATTCATAAATATTGAAAAATTATTGTGAGGACCCTATTTTCATTTTTCCATTTTCACCCTTATTCATTTTCAGCCTCACTCACTCTTCCTCACACAAGACTTTCTTTCCCTCTAAACCCTCACTCATTTTCTCTCAAATTTCCTTGTGGTGAATCTTGGTGACCGTAGGTGCAAGTGGTGTGAGAGCTGATTCCTTGTACGAGAGCTGATTCCGCAAGCTTGTTCTTCCTCTCCGTTCAAGCTCTTTTTCACTCTTCTTCTTCTCCGTTCAAGTTCCCGGAAGCTCGAAAATCTTTGCCCGAGGTAAGGGAAGCTAGGTCTTGCTGATTTTGGTTGTGAACGAGTTCTAGGAACTCAAAATTGTTGGCTGATGTTACTGATTTTTGGTTGAAGTGCTGAAAATGAACTTTGGGGTTTTTGGGGTTTTTGATGAATTTTGGGTCTCTCACTTGTTTCATGGTTGCATGTGTAAAAAGGAAGTGTTTTTGAGCTGTTGGATGAAAATGTGGAGTTTTTAACCGATTGCATGTGTTTGAATGACTTGATTTGTGCGATTTGATGAAATTTTTGAACTTGGGGAAGTTGCTGTTGAGCTTCGCGCTGGGCACTGTTCTTCGCGCCGGGCGCGAGACTACCAGGAGACTCCATTTGAGCAATCTCGCCGGGCGCAATGATGTATGCGCCGGGCGTGCTTGGAAATAGGCATGGCAACGGGG